AGAGAGAATCCGGAGTTCTGACATCCGTCGAAGATCAAGAATCAGGGACGCTGTCTCATTTGCCAAGGTGTCGAAAATCAGATGGGCTGGTCACGTAATGAGATTTAAAGACGACCGCTGGACTAGAGCTGTTACGGACTGGATTCCACGGGATGTCAAAAGACTGCGTGGCCGCCCACCTGACGAAGGTCAGACTTCTTCGTCAAGATCATGAACGATCGGTTTGAGGCCCTTCATGTTCCCGGAGCGAACAGATGCCATTGGGCTACACTAGCACGCGACAGGGACAAATGGAGACGTTACTGGCGCCCGCTCGAGCAAATCGATGACTAACGGGAAGTTAAGTGATTAAGTGATTAATAAAACAATCTATATTGGGGCTGGAGTAGGCACAGCGGGTAGGGTGTTTGCCTTTCACACGGCCGACCTGGGTTCGGTTCCCAGCATCCCATATGGTCCCCCAAGCACGGCCAGGAGTAATTCCTGAGTGCATGAACCAGGAGTAACCCCTGTGCATCGCTGGGTGTGACCCAAAAAGCAAAAAAAAAACCCAATCTACATTTATCAACTTGAGGAAGGATTATAAAACCTAATGACTGTAATCATTAAAGAAATCAAAATCATTAAAGAAATAAAAAAAAACCAATAACAGTGGCCTGAGCAATAATACAGGGGGTAGGCATTTGCTTTGCACGCTGCTGACCAGGGTTCAATTCCCCACATTTCATATAGTCCCCCTAGCACCACCAGAAGTAACCCCTGAGCATCGCACCCCCAGACTTAGCAGGATTGATCCCTGAGTGCAGAACCAGGAGTAAGCCCTGAGCACTGCTAGGTATAACCCCACCCTACCACCACCACCAAAAAAAAAAGAAGGACGTAGGAATATGGACAGCTCATAGGCATATGAAGACATGTTTATGGTCACTTGTTATCAGGGAAAGGCAAATCAAAACGATATCAACTTACATAAGTGAGAACGTCATATATTAAAAAGTCAGAAATTTTAATATATGACGCAGATGTGGTGAAAAAGGAACCTTCATTCACTGCTAGAAGGATTGTCGTCTAGTTCAGTCTCTATGGACAGTCTGAAGATTTCTCAAAAAGCTAAGTCTGTAGCTTCTGGGTATAGGGAAATAGCACAGGAGTTAAGGCACTTGCCTTGCACACAGCTGACTCCATTTCAATCCCTGTCTCTGCATACAATCCCCTGAGCCCTGTCAGGAATGATTTCTAAGCCCAGTCTGGGGTAAACCCTGAACATTGTCAACTGTGGTCTAAAAGAAAACAAAAAAGTACAGTTTCCATATGACCCCACAATCCCACTTGACACCTATCCAAGACTAAAATGACTTAAATCATTAATTCAAAAAGACATATACACGCCTAGATTCATTGCAGTGCTAAGTACAACTGCCAGGATATAGAACCAACCCAGAAGCCCACTGACCGATGAATGGAGAAAGAAGCTACAGTTGAGGGCCAGAGAGACAGTACAGCAGGGAAGGTAATTGTCTTGCACAAAGTCAATCTGCATTTGCGGCCGCGTGACATCCTATTATGACATCTTATTATCTCATTCCTACTTTGGACAAACTGGCAGGCTACCGAATGTAGCCTGCCCACACGGCAGAGTCTGGCGAACTCCCCGTGGCGTACCCAATATGCCAAATACCAGTAACAATGATGGGTCTCATTCTCCTAAAGAGCCTTGAATATAATCTCAGGGCTAGGATGAAGGAGACATTACTGGGGCCTGCTCGAGGCAATCGACGATTAACAGGATGATTTGTGATTTGTGATTTGTGACAGAGAGGAAAGGCAGTTCCAAAATTTGAATGGAGTCTCTGACTAGAGTGATAGCACAGCGGGGAGGGCGTTTGCCTTGCATGTGGCCAACCCCGGTTCGATTCCCAGCATCCTGTATGGTGCCCTGAGCACAGCCAGGAGTAATTCCTGAGTGCAGAGCCACGACTAACCCTGAGCATCGTCGGGTGTGACCCAAAAGCAAAAAAAAAATTTTTTTTGAATAGAGTCATTGTGAATGTCCCACTGAGTCTAATCTAACCTGAGCCTGAGTCTAACCACTATCTCACATTGCTGCTCCCAAGAGTCGAACAAGAAAGAGATAAATGACATGAGGTCATTTCGCAAACATCAATTGTGCTTCTACTACTTCCATCTGCACTGATGCACAAGAAGAGGGTGGTGCGCTAGGGGAAAAGGCAGCTCAGATAGGGAAGGGAGCATCAAATAAAGGGTGTTGGGAGTTTCCTCTCAGGATGGGAGATGTGTGATGAGAGTAGACTGAACATGATTGCTACTCAATGTCCCTTTTGCAAACCACAGCACTCAAAAGGAGAAAGATAACAAAAGGGAATGCCCTGCCACGGAGGTAGGGCGGGATGGGGAGAGGGTGGGGGGTGGGAGGGATACTGGGATCCGTGGTGGTGGAGTATGGGCACTGGTGGAGGGATGGGTATTCGATCATTGTATAACTGAAACCCAAGCACAAAAATTTGTAAGTCTACAACTGTACCTCATGGTGTTTCACTAATAAAAATTTAAGAAGGGGGGAAAAAAAAGAGGGTGGTGCCACAAAGCTTGCTGGGTGTCAGGAAAGCATCCTGTCACACTTTCAGGGACTGGAAGGGAGATTCATTTCCTTAGCTCGGTCACTTCTGAGCAGAACATCAACCTGTGGAGAAATGGTAGGAGAGAAGGAAGGACGCAAACTCTCCAAGGTAATGCAGCCTCTGTGAACCCAGAAAGCACTGGGAGAGGGGATTTGAAAATAAAGACAGGGCAGGGCAGGTTTGGGCTCGTCCACCAATGTCTCTGCTCACCTGAAACTCGAGTCTTTGTCTGACTTTTAATCACATTTTCCTCCATTATCACACATCAAGCATTGATTTAGACCCAACTATACATAAGCCACAGATGTTGTCTTTTTGATGCTTCTAGTCAAATGGGACAGAGATGATTAAGAAATCCCACCATTGGGCTGGAGCAATAGCACAGCGGGTAGGGCATTTGCCTTGCACATGGCCAACCCGGGTTTGATTCCCTGTGTCCCATATGGTCCCCTGAGCACCGCCAGGGGTGATTCCTGAGTGCAGAGCCAGGAGTATCCCCTGGGCATCGTCAGGTATGACCCAAAAAGAAAAAAAAAGAAAAAAAAAAAAGAAATCCCACCATTGGGCCAGAGCAATAGTATAGTAGGTAGGGCGCTTTCCTTCACTCGGCCAACTGGGGTTCGATCCCTGGTATCTCATATGGTCCCCCAATCACCAGGGGTGATTCCTGAGTGCAGAGTCAGGAGTAAGTCCTGAGCATTGCCGGGTATATCCCAAAAGCCAAAAGAAAATAAAAAGGAAAGAGAAAAAAAATAAAAGAGGGACCAGAGAGAAAGTATAGAGGGTAGTGCGTTTGCTTTGCTGGCATCTTATATCTTATATGGCCCCATGAGCACTACCAGGAGTAATCCCTGAGTGCAAAGGCAGGAGTAACCTTGAGCATTGATTGCCAGGTGTGATAAAAAAAAAAAGACAGAGAGCAAGAGCAAGAGCGAGAGAGCGAGAAAGAGAGAAGAGAGAGAGAGAGAGAGAGAGAGAGAGAGAAGAAATTCCACTGCTTTGCAAAGGCCAGCAATAAGAAACAGCATGTAGTGATAGGGAGCGACTCCACTGGGGACCAGAGGGCAGGAACATGACCTGGATGGATGCTGCAGTAGAAGAGAGGTAGGGTGGGGAGTGGGACAAGCTCAAGGCTGGCTAGTCTAGAATACTTTGCTTCTGCTGCTACTCATTTAGCCTTCCCATCAGCAAGCAGCTGACCAATCAGAGAGCTCCACTGATTGGTCCAAGAACCCAGGGTAGGGTTGGGATGGGGACTTCCCATTCTCTAACCCTCATAGGGAACCCAGAAAGCTGTGTTTTGTGACCAGAGGTACCCCACCACTAGACAAAGAGCTAAAAGAATTCGTGTGGCAACATAATTGCTCCCTCACCTCTTTCCCTTCATTTCCAGCTGCTACTCTCCACCCCTACCCTGCTTTTTTGGCTCCACCATTTGCAAATGCCTAGAACTCAGCACAGATGGAAGAGTTTTTGTGGATAAAAGCATAAGGTTCAACGGCCAGGAGAGAACATTAAGCTTATGTTCGAGCATGTGTAAAGCCCTGAATTTGATCTCCAGCACTGCATGCTCCCCCTTGCTCACCCTCCAGCACCACCAGGTACAGCCCTGGTGGCCCCTAACATTGCTGAGAACGGTACCACAAGTGCCGGCACTTCTACTGGGAGTGGCCTCTATTATAGATCTACTATAGATTATAAGATCTCCCTCCCTTTTTTTTTCTAAAAGCAGAAGCTTCATATTCAAAATAATCTGGCTGGGATTATTTTGGTTTTAAGATCCTGAACTTGTGACAATTTCTTCAGTCTAGTGAGCATAACAGTTCTTTCCCTAAAACTCTTGAACTAAAATGTAACTAGGTTAAGTTGAGCGCAGCAGTAAACGAACAGTGTCCAGAAGGAGACTCTCGTAGGCTGGCATGTGCCACGCACTCAGAACTGGGAGCTGTCGTAGAACGACCACATGACGTTAAGAGCTGGAGGTCAATGAGGAGGCGACTGATAGAGCTGCCAGGTCTCCAAGCCACCGACTCAGAGGAGTGAGCCAACAGCAACTGACGACACTCCAGGGCAGCTTCGTCCAGGGACCGTCCGAGAACAGGACGCACGTCCTAAGTCCGCTGTCCCCTGAGTCTGCCCGCGGCCGGGACCTGGCGTTGCAAAGAGGTCCAGCGCCAGCCCAGGGTCCCCTGAGCCAACACCTGGGGGGAACGTGAGAGGGCGTGGCTACACGCCGCATCCCTCAGCCAATCGCCCGCCGGAGAAGCCCAGCCAATCACCGAGGCTCTCCGTAGCCAGAGGCGTGGCCACGGGCGGAGCGGCTGCGTCATAGGTCACCGGGCGGGCCGGGGGCGGGGCCCGAGCCGCGGGCGGAGTCAGCGGGGCCGCGGCCAGCGGAGTCGGGGCCGCGATGGCGACAGCGGCGGCTGCGGCGGCTGCTGCAGAGGCCGCCCCGGCGCCCGCAGCCCGCGCGGAGGGCGCCTGCTCGGTGCACTGGTTCCGCAAGGGGCTGCGGCTGCACGACAACCCGGCGCTGCTGGCCGCCGTGCGCGGGGCGCGCTGCGTGCGCTGCGTGTACATCCTCGACCCCTGGTTCGCGGCTTCTTCGTCCGTGGGCATCAATCGGTGGAGGTGAGGGCTCCGAGGGGGGTGCAGCCCGATTGCGGGGGGTGGGGGGCAGCGGCCGATCTTGAGTTCAGATGGCATCCTTAGCCCCGGGACACTCGGGCCTAGGGGAGGTGGGGCGGGGAGACGGGGACGTGGGCACCCCAGCCCGGAGATGCAGCCGGGAGACGCCGGGACCCGACCCGGTCAAGCCATTCGTCGGGCTTTAGGGATGAGCCAAAGCTCCACCTCTTGCAAAAGCGATTTCGGATGGTTGCGTCTCTGCTCGGGGCCTCTGACCCACGTGCATCAGAGATTCCGCTCCCCGGTTGCATTGATGCCACGCTGAGCCCTCGGGATGGAGAGTTGACCTGCCAACTGAGAGGCAGGACCGGGACTCGTGTTCCTGGGAGCGTGCAGGGTGTGGGAGAGAGGGTCGGGGCCAGAACTCGCCAAAGCGCCAGAGTTGGACTCCTCCAGGGCCTCTCAGCCTCAGGTTGGTTTGTCTGGCCCTTCCCCGAGCCTGGCTTCCCTTCCTCCACCAAGACCATTGGCATTTGGAGGTTCTAGACCTCTTGACTTAATAGATAAGGTAGGAGTCCCTTGCATCTCTCCTTTGTTCTAGAAAAAGACCCAAAGTGGCCCTTGGTAAGTGTCCTATGGACTTTCTAAGAAAAGAAAGAAAGAAAGAAAGAAAGAAAGAAAGAAAGAAAGAAAGGGCAGAGTCAAAGTCTCCTCCTCATGAAATCAATTTTGTTTTGTGAGGGTTGAGGAGAGTGTTACTGCTTTGTGATTACTGATTTGAAATTCAGCAACGATGAAAGCGCCCGCCACTGTTGGGTTGCTTGGATTGGTTTCATTGGTGATGGTGTCATTTGGTGTTTTTTGGGGGGAGGCCACACACCTGAAGTGATCCGGGGCTACTTCTGGTGGTGCTCAGGGGGCCTGCGCATTACTGGGAATTCTACCCAGGTCTCCACATGCAAACCACGTCCCAACCCTTTTTTGGGTGATTTTGCTTTGCAATTTTTTCCCCTGTATTTTTATGGATTCATCATGATGAGGTGAAATTGTGCAAGGTGGCTGAGCCTTGTGTCCCCTGATGTGCTCAGGAGAGGGGGCACGGACCTGCGATAGGGAGGCCCCTCCGCTGACTCCCAGAAGCTCCAGTGGGCAGGAGCGAGGGGAAGGCCCAACAACTAGGTCACTGATGCTCTCACACCCAGTGTTTCAAGCCTAGGAGTTTGAAACGTGGTGTCCCAGTCGTCGCTCTGAAAAGCACCAGCAGATGTCATGGGATTTGGGTTTGTTTGTGTTCCTCTCGAGGGCGTTTGTTTATGACCTTGTTGCAAGGATTGGCTGGGCCCCTGCCAGCTCCCCAAGGCTTGTGCACCCCATTCTCTCCAGGGTTTGCTGGGAAAGATGCCCGGGGCCTGTTAAATGCCCCCCTGCCCCTTGTATCCAGACAGGGGACAGCTACAGAGAGTCCTGGAGTGAGCATGCCCCTGCAGGGGGCCAGGCTGTGCTATTGCTCCTCTGCTGCTCCAGTTTCTATAGTTAGAAGGTTGGGTCTGACATTCACAATGGACTGTCCGTGACCACCATGGACAGTAAATCAAGCCCTTGCACTCTCCTGAGGACAGAGTGCAGACAGAATCCCGCCACCTGCCCACGTGGCACTGTCTGGAAGGAGATTCTTCTTTTAGTGGGTTGGGGCGGGGGGAGGGGAGGTGGGAGGAGGAACATGGTACAGCATCACCTTCTCCTCTGTGTTTGTGGAGATTTAAGTATCAACAAAGTAAACTCTGTTGCTGATTAAAGTCAGATTTGCTAAGAAGTCCAGGTTTACCCTTTTGTGGTTGTGCTTCTGAGCTAAAGGCGGAGAAAAGGCATTTGGGAGCTCACCCACTGTATTCCACCCAGAAGTCGGAGGTCCATGTGGGATACAGACAGTGAGTGAGTTCAGGAAGCCCCGTGGACCTGCCCGTTGCTGGGTGCTGGTGGTGCTAGGGAGAAGCCGCAAGCCAGCGGGGGTGTTCAGGGCAGTGGTGGAGCGCCGTGGAGACTTTGGTAGGGTAAGGAGTGCCGTCACTCTGTACATCCATGCCATAAACTTTTACTGTATTGTGGCCATGTTCCCTAAACTATAATGAAACACATATTTCTTGCAATAAAAAGAAGTAAGTAAAAGATGCCGGGGCCCCTTCCTCCCCTGATCCTGCTTCTAAGGTCCTGGGTTCTGGCTTCAGCGTTAAGGTGCTCCGGGCTCCTGTGTGCAGCCGAGCCCAGAAGCACAGCGTAGAGAAGGACAGATGTGAGCCCAGTCACGTGGGCTGTGCGGCAGCACATTCACGCAGATGCGAAAGGAGACCCCGAGATCAGTTGTGGTGGCTGTCACCAGGCCAGGGAACTGTGCACCCGCTGGAGCCTTCATCCTGGCCCGCTGTGGAGGGTTGGACCGCGGGCGCATTGCTGACGTGGCATGGCCGGGGGAGTAGACGAGACAGCTTACCCCAGCCTGTGGCAGACCCAGTGGCTGTTTCTGTTGATTTGTTCATCTGTCTGCTTTTTGGCCCCACCTGACTGTGCACAGGGCTCACTCCTGGGGAGCTCCAGGGACAATATTGAGGTGCCAAGGATCTAACTCAGGTCAGCCATGTGCACGGTAAGAACCCCACCTGCTATACTGTCTCTTCAGCCCTGTTTTCTTTTTCTATTTCCTCCCCCCGCCCCCTTTTTTTGGTTGACTGGCTATTTCTGGCTCCAGGAGAAGATGCTGCAGCCCCACGCCCTGGTTCTGCAAATTCTTCCCTCACCGCCACTGAGAATCTTCCTTAGCAGGGTGGGCTCTGGGCCATCTGGTCCATCTGTGCCAGGCTGGGGGGAGGCAGAAGCCCATGGTGATGATTCTCCTGCACTTCCTACATGGCCTCCTACGCGGGGGTTTCTGGCAGAGGAATCCAAAAATAACCCCTGCAATGCGCTTTTTAAGAGAGAACGAGGGCAGGGAGAGGCAGCCAGGAATATATATATGTGTGTGTGTGTGTGTGTGTGTATGTATATATATATATATATATTTTTTTTTTCCCTGTTAGTATAGATGAAAGGCTTCCATCCTCAGTGGTGGGGGGAAGTGTCTGGGCAGTGGTGCCCTGTGAGCCTTTTTGGGTCGTGCACCAGTTAGCTGAATGCTTTAGTATTTTTCCCCAGCCTTACTGCTTTCCCCAAGTTTGATGCATTTAGGAAGCGGTAATGCAGTAGGTATTCACGGTATCACGGTCCTCCCATTGTTCATCGATTTGCTCAAGCGGGCCCAGTAACATCTTCATCATGAGATTTGTTGTTACTATGTTTGGCATATTGAATACGTCACGGGTAGCTTGCCAGGCTGTGCCATGCGGGCGAGATTAAAGGAAGGAAAAAAAGAACTAGAGCAGCTTTTAGAATTTTGGGTTTTTGGTGGTTTTTTTTTTCTTTTTTGGTGTTTTTGTTTTGTTTTTGATGCCAGGGAGGGAACTTGAGGCCCCACCCCATATGAAGTAGGCCCAGCCCCACTGGGCCATATCCCCAGCCCCACGATTTTTGGATTTAAAAATGGGTACTGAGAACTGGAGCGATAGTATAGCAGGTAGGGCAGTTGCCTTGCATGCAGCTGACTTGGGATCGATCCTTCCCTAGCACCCCCATGGTCCCTTGAGCACTGCCAGGAGTGATTTCTGAGTGTAACACCAGAAATAATCCCTGAGCATCACTGTGTGTGCCCGCCCCCCACCCAAAAAAGGAAAAAAACAGAATAATAAGGGTGGGGTGGGACATGGGGTACTGAGACTGGGCCTTTGTATCTGTTAGCAGGTAGGTGTTCGCAAAAGCTTTAAGTCATTTGTTTCAGCCTTTTTTTTTTTTTTTTTTTTTTTGCTTTTTGGGTCACACCCGGCAATGCACAGGGGTTGTTCCTGGCTCTGCACTCAGGAATTACTCCTCCTGGCGGCGCTCAGGGGACCATATGGGATGCTGGGAATCTAACTCAGGCAAACGTCCTACCCGCTATGCTATTGTTCCAGCCCTATCAGCCTTTTTTAAAAGCCTTTTGGTCCTCTGAGTTCAGGTAGTTGGTAGAATAAAATATGAGCTCTCAGTCCCCATTGCTCCGAATGAGTGGATGAGGTGAACAGGTAAGAACAAATGTGTCTCTGGCCTCAAATTCCAGGAGCTAAACCCTGGGATGGGCAAGGTGGGTGGGCGGCTACCCCTGGGTACCAAGGACTAGGGGAGGCCCAGGAAAGACACCGAGTTAGATCCCTGGCACTGCTGGACATTTGAGCATACCCTGGGAGCCCCTAGTAGCACTGGGCCTGAGTACCCCGGCGTGACCAGGCTGGAGCCTTGAACCCTCAGATCCGGCAGGCCAAGAATTGCTGGGAGTACGGGGCTAGAGGGAGGGCAGTGGGGAGGGCATTAGCCTTGCATCCTCGCATCCCTGGGGATCCCCTGAACCCCGCCAGGAGTGATTCCTGAGTGCAGAACTAGGAGTCAGCCCTGAGCACTACTGGGTGTACCCCCTCCCCCCCCCCACATAATTGCTTCAAGTGACCCAGACCCCTGGAAGGCTCCCCTCTCTCAAGAAAAAGAAGGGAATCAGACTGGAGAGGTAGTAACAGGGTGAAGGTGTTTGCCTTACATGCAACCAACCCCAATCCTATCCCCAACATCACTTAGGGTTCCCCGACCCCCACTGGGAGTGATATCTGAGCACAGACCTTGCCCCCACCCCAAACTCAGAGCTCTCCTGGGTGTGTCCCCCCACCTCCCGCCCAGACAAAAATGAAGGGAATTGAGAACTCAGATCTGATAGCAGAGAAACTGGGATGACCGTGAGCTGTTCAAGCTGGTCCCCACACACGTCCTTTTCCTCCGCTGCTGAGGAAATCGCTTCTACTTGCCCCAAAAGACGACAGTCCCCTTCCTCTTCGAAAGAGAAGATCAAATATATTTCTATTTAAGTCTCATATCACATTCAACCAGGAACC